GTTCACTGCTGATTTGTCCTGGGGTAGATTGATTCCTTACTCCATGTGAAGCTTAAGGCACTGTGAGATAACAAGGCCCACTAATGGCACTAGAGCACTGCCCAAGGCCAGAGCCAGTATTTCTGAGAAAAATGAATCGACCTCCACGTAAGCCAGTTGTGTGTCCAGGGCAATTGGCAGAAGCATTGAAGTTCAAAAACAGAATACTTAAATTCTTCAGTATGTGTGAAAGAAGAAAATGTATACTTATAACTTAGTTTATAAGTTTATGGAATTATCTATATCTGACCCTATGTTCCATTAATTTAAATAAAGAAAAAAAAACCCTCTACCATACTGAAGAGAACTTTTTAGAATATTGGTTCTGATTTGTATTTCAAACTTACGCATTCAGTACTGGTTATGTGTTTTCAAGGCTGCTGACTTGGCGACCGGTCACTGCGGACTTTGGCTCTGTATCTCCCTCTGATGCAAAGGAAAAACTGGTAAGCTGCTGAAATAAAAAGTATTTCTAGAGTTTGGTACAAAAGTGGTGTGCTCCAGAGCAAGTGAAAAGTAGACTTGGTTTAAACCCATTTCTAAATTTTGATTTACTTGAAAAAGTGTTTTCCAGACAAAATTCTCTTAAAAAAAAAGCTTTTTAATGCTCAATTGAGAAAGAGAAGTATGTATTTGTTTGCAGCAAGGTTGACCTGCAGAAGTTGGCTGTTGGTCATTATCTGTGTATGGTTTAGGTAATGTCCTGTGGCTGGTAGGTCTCTCTAATACCGTATTTAGGGTTTAAGTTGTTTTCTGGTTTGGGACATCGTTTTTGTTTCATTTTGCTCAGTATTCTTTTTTATGTGTTGGCATAAAGAGAAAATGCTGGAGGTGGAAAGTGCCAATTAGACTGACTTTTTTCTTTCAAGTTTTCTCTGGTAATAAGAATTTAAACGTGAGTGTTTAGAACAGCGGGTATGTACAACCATCAGATTTCTTAGCACTGACTAAATAAACCTATGTAAAATTCAGATGTGCCTACAAGTGACAGCCCTGTAGCTACTTCTCTGCTCATGAGAAGTAGTTTAGCTTTCGGACATTGTCACTAGATTGCTGTGTGAAGTTCTTTATAGATTAATGAAGCGTTTGATAAAAATTGTTCAAGGATATGGTCCCAAGTGAGTTCTACTAAGAGAGACTGACTCCCTCCATTTATCTTCATGGAGTGCTAACATCATTTACTTTCAACAGAGCGTAAATAGCCAGTGATAGCCAGTTCTCATTATACAGATATTTTACATCTGTGACTGAATGTGTTTGTTACACCCTGAATCATTTGTAGTAGTTTGATGTAAAAAGTTTTATCTTGGCTACATTTTATGTCAAATATAACAGCATGCAAAAATGGCAAATACATTCAATGTCTTAATCATGAATAAATGGAAAGATCTTTCTTCTTTGAAATAGTTTAACATGAATGTTTTCAAAAAGTTCTTGTCTTCAGTGTAAAAAGACACTTTACTACTACAAAATTAACAGAACTTGGATAATAAATAGTGTTAAAAGAGATACATTTTGGATGCTTTCTTTTGGTAGGATAGAATTATTGCAGGCTTTAGATATTTCCATCTGATTTTTCTTCAGGTAGTTCAAATCTAATGAAGTGTTCTACTCTGTATTATTGAAAGTGTATTTATACTTAATAGAGGTGAAAACCTTCATTATTCACTGGCAAGAGAGGCTGGTACATTCTTCATAGGAACTGCACGTGTAGATTTAAACCTTTCTAATAGCACAATGCAGGAATTAATGTGTAGTCTCCAGTGGCACTGAAGGAACAAATGCCAATAGAAATGCTGGGTTGTTGAAAGGGGCAGCAATTGATACATACAACTGCTTTGCAGTTAATGATAACATATTCTGTCCTTAAATATATTAATGACATTTCCCTATTTCAGTGACTGCTTTCTGAAATCCAAACAGTAGGTATTACCACTGATCTTAATACTTCACATTCAACTGCTCAAGAAGGAAGATATTTATTAAAAAAATAAAACAAAAACTCAACAATTCATTGTCCAAAGTCATTGCATTCTAGCTCAGAAAATAACATATTACAACATGGAGAATAAGAATACATTGAAGAAGTCTGCTGAAGCAGCTCTCCGGCAAAAGCATTTTAAATTAAAGCATTTTCTTAATACACACACGAGAATTCTCCTCCTTCATCGTTTTACTGTGGTAAATTCCCATAGCACCTACAAACATGTTAGGAGCTTGTAATTCAGAACATTAAAGGGAGTAAAGGCCAGGTAGAGATTGAAGTTTGATGATACCTCATATTATTTGTACTTGTCATTTAAGAGCTGCATGTTCATATTTTCATCTGTTATAAAAGGAATACAAATACTCACAGAAACTATTAAAGATTTTTGTTGTAGATCGAGGTGGATACTGTATTTCCCAGTATCAGAACCTTGCAGCAAACCTCATGCACTTAATCTGTGTTGAAACAGCAAATGTCTTAACCTGTAAAGAGCACAACACTGTTGAGAATTAGATTGCAGGAGTTTTCTGTAAGTTAATTTTTAATTATTTTTGGTTTGGTTTGTTTTTTGCAGGATACCATCTCACAGAAGTCAGTAGATATTCATGATTCTATTCAGCCTAGATCTTCAGATGGAAGGCCATATCAACCCAGCACAGGGTCCACAGCAGGTGAAGAAATGAGTAAAACCAGGCCAACAGCAAGTGCGTGTTTTGTAGTGATTTGGCATTTTATATCTGTTAAATAGTATTTAGCAGAGGTTTATTTAGCAAAGGTTTAATATCTTTAATTATAGCTCCAGCTGTAACTTGAAAAACAGTACCTGAAGAAAAATTACATTGGTTAAATTTGTCTTCATGTAGCATGATAGAATTCTGTTGGACTCTTGTGGGTTCCCGTTTTTGACATGTGCCTTAAAAACCTAGAGTTCAGCTGCTGACGCACAGGCTTTTAGCCCAAAGCAGTATATAGTTTTTTCTTAAGAGCAGAGTTCTTTCTGTGCAGAGTGCAACAGCAGCAATGGACGGGGTGGGGGGGAAGTTTATTTAGACTGATTTGAACAGAGTATATCAAATCCCTAAGATATTTGGGCAAAGTTAATGTGTTGGTGCTTAAAATGCTCATGTCTGGTCGTATTACAGTACTTGCCACAAGTACAAACAAGTATCAATTATATCAGTTCTGTCCTCAGCCTCCTCTGCCTGTGGACAGTCTTAGCTTCGGGTTCTTGCCACTGCACTGGAGCTAAAAAGGTCACCAATTCTGGTGATTTTTAGGTAACACTGAATATTTGTCCAATATATGGTGGGCAGCTTTAAGGTTAGGAAGTAGTTCTCAAGAACTTGCCAATTGTTAACAGTGGTTGTCAGTCCTGGTTTTCTAAGAGTAATTTAGATGGGTGGATTCCAGGTTTGGTTTATGAATGTGCTTTAAGTTAAGCTGTTCTTCAACTTACCCCCAGAATAACTCAAAAAAGAAGCAAGTATTGTAGTTCTTCAGTTAATGAGCAATTTTCTTTCCTTTAAAGAATTTCCAGAACAGAAGTTATTTGCTGCTCTTTTAATCAAATGTGTTGTACAACTGGAACTCATTCAGACTATCGACAACATAGTGTTCTTCCCAGCAACTAGCAAAAAGGAGGATGCGGAGAATCTAGCAGCAGCACAAGTAAGTAGAACTGATAGGTGTTTTTCTTTTTGATAGGTTTTTCTCTAGAGGATGAAGTTTCATAAATTCCCATAACATATCTAATTGACAATTTTCAGAAATGCTGGAGAATTTCCAGCAGACTGTTGAGATCTTTTACATCTTGCATTAAATTGCATTTGCTGTGCTGGGGCAGCACACTGTGGAGATTAAAATGTGTATGTTCTAAGGGATTTCTATAACTGGGATGTAGATACAACTTCCAAATACAGTTTTAAGTTTAAATAGAAGTACAGATGGAAACAGGGTAGGATTAGAGTTATCACAGGAATTTGCTGAAGTCAGTTGCGAATTTTTACTTGAAATCCTTTTTTTTTTTCATAGAGAGATGCAGTAGACTTTGATGTCCATGTGGATACACAAGATCAAGGGATGTATCGTTTTCTAACGTCACAGCAGCTTTTCAAACTCCTCGATTGTCTGCTGGAATCTCACAGATTTGCTAAAGCCTTTAACTCCAACAATGAACAGAGAACTGCTCTCTGGAAGGCAGGTGAGTCAGTCACCTTGGAGACTTGTTTTGTGAGAATGTTTTACTGTGCTTTGAGTTGACCCAAAAATAGGTCAAAAGTACTTTGATGCTGAAGGTGAAATTGAGTATCAGGTTTTAACTTTATAACCCTAAAATCCCTAAGGGGAAACCACCTCATCTGTGCAGGTGCAAAAACCCTTTGGATTTCCTAAAATTTAAGGATTCACTGGGTTACAGCTGCCAAGCTGATCTCTGATTGTAGGTGTGAGCTCCATACTTGGAAGCTACCACAACAAAACCCTAAAACTATTAAGGGGGGTTGCTTTACCTACTAGTGTTGTGTAAGTGTCATTTTCTGAAATAGCTGGAAAATGGACTCTCCGTAGCACTGTGTCTCATCTGTTCCTTGCACCAGTTAGCTATGTTAATATTTGAATCCAAAACCAGCAATAAACCAGTATACACTAGATAGATAGATATATGATTGCGACAAACTGGTCCATTGTTCTGGTGGTTAGAGTTTGCTTTTATCATACACCCAAATTTCGAATGTATTCGGAAGCTTATACCATATACAGTTGTGTATGTGCCATATACAATTCTGGTACATATCTGTAGGTTAATTTTTAGCAGTACTCCATTGTACTAAACATAATGAGAAAAGAATTCCATAAGATGATTCTTCTGTCTATGTGCAGAAGATGCTTAGAAGGTGAAGTGGAGGACTGTAACACAAAATGTCAGATGAAACAGGAATCTAAACAAATGCTTGGAATTTTTCTAGGTTTTAAAGGCAAATCAAAGCCTAATCTTCTGAAACAGGAGACTAGCAGTCTTGCGTGTGGGCTGCGCATTCTGTTCCGTATGTACATGGATGAAAGCCGTACCAGTGCATGGGAGGAAGTCCAGCAAAGGCTACTCAAGTAAGGTCCACATAGCTGAACCTGTTGATGTTACTTCTGATGTTAAGGAATGTTTACTTAAAAGGATAGACCTCCTCTGTTTGCAGTAAACTTTCTAGAGCTAACACAGTAAGGTGGTGGACACAGCCAATACTAAGAGTTTCTATCTTGTGTGGAGGGTGCTGTGCCTCCAGCTACTAATGCTGCCTCAGCTTTTTGTTCTCATTACGTTTTGAGGAGAAAACAAGGGTTTTGTCACCTTCTGTTTTTGTAGCATGTGGGTGGGTGAGAGATAGGTATAGCTCCTCTTCAAAAAGAAAAGCAGCTATCACCTAAACCCTGCTTTTTCCTTTCACTGTCCTCAGATGGTTTAGGGAACTGATGCTGTTTGTTCTTGTCTGCAGCAGTGAGCACTGGATTGGAGCACTGGGCTTGAGGAGCCTGTGGGCATACAGAAGCTTTTGGCTTTTTGGTTATTACTAATGCTAATACTGAGGTTCACCTGAATGTTCTTAGTTTACAAAGCTGTTCAAGCAAGTGTTGGAATAACAGAGGGCTTAAAACATGGCAGTAACACAGTGAAAGTACCTTCAGGTTTACAGACCAGGGAGCAGAGCTGAAATCTGCCTGGTTACATCAGCATTAGATTCATTTTTAAAGTCTACGTATCATTTTGTCACATGCATTTCAGTACCTTAAATACAGACAGGAACAGCACGATCATGGTTTGTTAGCATATTGAAGTCCTGGGACTTTGCTTTTGAGTTGAACAAAATCATTGCTTTCTGTTACTACTCAGGCTTACAGTAGCTTTCGTAAAATGATGCTGTTCTACACTGGTATAGTTGCAAAGCCCTCTCTGCAGTAGAGCTCAAAATAAGATGCTAGATACTAGGTTTTGTGTCTTTTCTCTCCAGTGTCTGCAGTGAGGCTCTCAGTTACTTCCTCACTCTTACTTCAGAAAGTCATCGAGAAGCCTGGACTAATCTATTACTCTTATTTTTGACTAAAGTCCTGAAGATAAGTGATGAAAGGGTAAGTAACTGTTTGGAATGGTATTTAAGACAACATTTGCAGGTAAGAAGGAGTTTGAGGCCAGTTCTTCACACACAGTTACTCACTGGACTGTAAAAGCTCCTGCTGCTCTGTAGACACTCTTCATTGAGGAAACATAACATTGAAATGCATGCACTTGACATACTGAGAGTAATGGAGAGTGAGGGTGCAGGGAGTGATAAAATAAAACGTGTCTGAGAAAATTTAAAAGATGTTAAAATCCTTTAGAAGTGTGCGTGAAGTTGCTTTTACCCCTTTCCTGCTGAGGAAGACGATTAGTGGCTGATACTTTATTCAAAGAAGTAACTCCTCTTTCCGCTTCCAGTGCTACATGTACATCACCTTGACCTTCTCCAAAGCAATTCTGCTGTAAATGAATCCATATCTGGATCTCCCTCTATTTCTAACAAAACTTGGCTGAAATACGAAGTGAAAAAGCTCACCTGTAACAAAAACCTGATAATAGAAAAACTTTCTCTTAAAAAAATAAGCATTAGTAAGGAGCTGTGTGTAGCCAGTGAGCAGTTGTCGGAGTACCTCACTGCTGTCTTAGCCTTATTCTAGCAGTGCTGGCTGCAGTTACAAAGTGTTCCCGCTTGTCCATTTGGGGGTTTCTCACCTTGACTTGGGAGAGCATTTAAAACCCCTCACTGGCAGTGCGCTCTCAGAGGTGTATTGACACATAGTAGAAAAATCTGTTCTGTTTGTTTTCTCCTCAGTTCAAGGCTCATGCCTCATTCTACTACCCTCTGCTGTGTGAAATTATGCAGTTTGACCTTATTCCTGAACTTCGAGCAGTTCTACGGAGGTTTTTCCTGCGGATCGGTGTGGTTTTCCAAATATCCCAACCACCAGAACAGGAGTCTGGACTAAGCAAGCAGTAGCAGATAGTGACTGAGTATTGCTCTGTTGAAAAGTTTCTATTCCTCAGCTAAATAAAAGGACCTGGTAGCTGAGCCATTCTGTCTGGATATCCATAAAAATGATTTCTTTGTCTGGCAACATGTATCCAAGGGTTAACGGTACAGATGCTTACAACTGTCATTAAGGCTTGCAACACTCCAGTCCCTTTATTTCCTGACGGATTATCTCTATGGGTTTCTCTTACCTGGCTCATGCTGAGCACAGAGCCAGTTTTTAGCACAGTCCTCCTGTCAGCATGGGCTGCAGTATCCTTTACTGTCCTAGACAGCAGTATAGCAACAGATGTTTATGGCAGGTGTGAAAGTAAAATGTACCCAAAGAACTATATATGTAAAGGTTTGAGCTTCTGCAAGAAGTACAACTCAGGAGAGCTGTATTTTGAAGGATAAAATGTTTATAGTGAAAAGCAAATGGAGATTATTGTTCATGGTAAAAGATATTTAGCAACTATGTCTGATATTCTTATTCTGAGATTTTTGCACACTCAGGCTGTCTGAGACATTGGGAATCATCCTTCTGTGAAAAATGTACAGAGATGCAGGTCTGTAATATAAACTCTTTAACACTATACAGTTCTTCCGGGACTATTTTATTTCTGTATTCTTGATTTGCTGAAAACCCATAACACTTCATTGTTTACCAAATGCACTAGAAGTTTGGGTTTATTTTTTTGGGTTGTGATTTTTTTTCTTTTCTTTCTTTCTTTTTTCTTCCTTCTTTTTTGGTTTCATTGTAGCCCAGAAGTTGGTGTTGCTGACTTTTGTCAAGAACAGAGGTAGAAATATCACGACTGACATAACTACCTGTAATATACATGTTTTAGGGCTTTTAACTATAATGAGCCATTGAAATGATGATCCTTCAAGGACTGGAACTTGAATCACTGCAAACAAGTCTAGGTTGTGTCTGCTGTCAGATGTTTTTTGTTTGATGTAGATTTCACTCTTATGTACAGAATTTAATGTTGAATATATTCAAGTAACAAATCTGGCATGGTTTGGGGATGGTTAAATTTATTGGAAATGTATTCATACTGTGAATTGTGCTCTGATGGTTGAAAGACAAGATTGTCAAGCATTCTGTATTACAATGGATGTAGAAATTTTTTTCAGATGGACAAAATGTATATGGTACAGATATGTAAAGTTTTCTATGTAAAAAAAATTCTGTACAACTTTCTGTACAATATCTGGTTCTCATCTGGCATATTCTAATCAGGTTATAGGTCAATAAAGTTTTTGAACTCTTTCATCAGTGCAATCAAAACCAGTCTAACCCACAGCTACTTGTCCTAAAGTTTCCTTTGCCTCTCGTGCTCTCGTTCCAGAGGAACAAATCCCGGCGCTCCAGGTGCAGGCAGGTTGATGCTTGTGAAAAGGAACAGAGGTGCTTGCAGGTGAACTAGTCACATGAACCCTGCAGCGCTGCACAGATGATAGAAACTCAAACACTACATTTTGCTTTCTGGGAATTAACATATTAATAGGAAGCAGATTATTACGTTTTGTCTGTCTGCTGCCTGGGAGTACAGCAGCCAGCTGGAGCACCTCTGCTAAGAACACAGGCCCAGAGAATTGGGCTTGTTCAGCTTGGAGAAGAGAAAGCTCAGGGGAGACCTTAGAGCAGCTTCCAGTGCCTAAAGGGGGCTTGCAGAAAATCTGGAGAGGGACTTTTTACAAGGGCCTGTGTTGGAATGGCTTTAAGCTGACAGCAGAGAGATGCAGGTGAGGTATTTGGAAGAAATTCTTTGCTATGAGGGTGGCGAGACAGGAACAGGTTGTCCAGAGAAGTTGCGGATGCTGTGTCCCTTGGAAGTGTTCTAGTTCTAGTGCACTAGGTAATCTTTAAGGTCCCTTCCACCCCAAACTATTCTGTGATAAAACCTGGGACTAGCAAAGGAGAAAAGTGTGACAACCCAGAAGTGGACAAGGGAGTCTGACCTGACAGAGGAATTTGTCTCCCTGTAGTTGTTCACAGCCGGCTCCAAAAGTAAGCAGTTCAGTGCAGTGGAGGGAATTAAATAGTGTGATCTGTGAATAGTGTGTTAATTGGGGTGCAGCAAAACCAAATTGCATTTATCAAAGTCAGGGGTGAATTGAGGTTATTTTCATTAACTGCAGTTGTACAGCCTTTCTTCTTGAGCTGTGTTTTGTTTTCAGTTGGTTGTGTAATACTTAAAGCTTAAACCAGTGTATTAGGTCAGAGCTAAGGTCTGTCTGTCTGGTCTGTTTGACAGTGATAGGTAATAATGCCTGGAGTACCTGTAATTGTCCCATCCCTCTTGATGTCAGACTCTCCTACACCAGTGGCAGCTGGTGTTCGTTAGTGGTACCATCATCAAGGCATTCCTCGTGCTGTGTGTACTGCTGTAACAGCTGGTTATGTACCCTTTACCCACATCTGCCCAATTCCTTTTTAACTGTTTGTGTCCAAGATTCAGCAGCACTGAGTACAATAGATTGCCTAAACCATCTGGTAGGTTGGGTTGTGGTTCGTAGGGTTGTTTTTTTTAAGCCTTACTGCTTTGTTGTTGTGTGCTCCTATGCAGTAAGGACTTATTTTACAGCATGACCTTCTCATGCCTTCATTTATTGCTTGTGTGGACAAGGCCTAATAGCTGTTCAGCCTTGGATCATCCCAAACTGAACTCCTGACAGATCATGACTCCCTCCTGCATCTTTCTTTAGCTGTACTGTGGGTATCACGTTCAACTTGCACCTACACACTGTTGTCAGAAAAGCAGGGTCAGAGGCAGGAAATGAGTTCTACCTCAGTCAGCTCAGCTCTGAGCCCAGGACTGCAGAGTGCAGCTGCTTTATTTTGCAGCTGAGACTCTCATGATAAAAATAAATAGAACCATGTAGGGAGCAGGGCAGAAAGGCCGTGCTGGCACCTGAGCTTTGGATATACACAGAGAAAGCTGAAGGGACAACTGGGAAAGATGTGAAGGAGCAAGAGTATCCTGGGTATCGGCCTCAATGGCAAAGGGTGGACAGCTGTAATGAAAAGTTAAATCACAGGGTTAGATGTGGTAGATACTGAGGTTAAACTAGGTTCAGTGGTTTCATGTCACTGCAGCAGTGAAAGAAGCAAATCAAAGCGGGCCTGTGCAGGTCCTAGGCTTGGATGGGATGCAGTTCAATGAGGCTGGCTTCTTAGGCTAATGCTGGTTTAATGCTTCTGTCAGAGGGTAAAGCTTCAAAGTTCAGGGAATAAAGAAAAAACTAGACCACTAGATGAGGAAGAGGAGAAAACAAGTCCTGTATCTAGCCCAGTGTTAGTGCAGTGAACATATCACAAAGTTCAACACGAAGCAACTGAAGAGGGTCATCGGGCATCAAAACCAAGGGGAGGGCTGGGAAGTGACAAATCAGAGAAGTGTGAAATACATGAGGTGGGCTTCATCAGGAGAGGCTCTGGGAGGGTGGTAACCACACAAAATCTTTTCACCTTAGCTGCTTAAAATTATTTAGGGATTCCTGCCTCTGGGAAATTCAGAATGAAGCCAACATGAGGCCTATGTTACATGATCTAGCCTAGGCCCTGGACTGCACCACAATCCCTCTGTTATTTACTGGCCCTTTCTGTCATACCCCAACTGGCAAGCCAAAAACTGATGGTAAGACCGAGCGTGATGTGGCACTTTCTGTCCGAGAAGGAACACGCTAAACCCACGACGAAGCAAAGCACACCACCATGTTGCAGTGGTACAGTGCTCCCAGCCTGCTGTCACCACACAACAGCCGTCACCCTCAAGCAGGCAGATAGAAGCCTGAAGGCAGCATTTTAGGAAAAATAAGCAATTTTTTTCAAAAAATGTTTGGTTTCAACATTTGTTTTCCCTGTTGGTCACGTTCTGGCTTCTAACCCAGAGGAAAGTCACAGCCTTACAACTTGGTCTTTCAGTTCACTGAACTCCTAGAATTTTGCTTCCAGTTACACATCCTTCTTGCTAGAGCTCCGTGCTTTTATTCAGTGAGTTTTCCATGTATATTTTTGCTGCTTCTTTGAAGGCAGCCTTAACGTTCTAGTTTGTTCATGAGTAAATGTAAGCAAATAATAAGAAAACTGAAATCTGTTTTCACACTTTTAGTAACAAAATAATTTATTAACTCTTAAATCAGAACCATGAATTAAATATATGCATTTCCAACACGTAACAGGTTAGGGAACATGAGATACATTGCTAATAGCCCATGAAACTGCTGAGCTTTCATGCAGGACAGCACTCCCCACTGTACAAAAAGCAAGTGTCTTTCCCCGAGTTACTTACTCTTTTGGTAAAAGCTTAAAATGCACCTCAGCTGCTGGGTTACTCTATTTCCAAACTGGTTTAGAGTTTGACTATAAACAAAGCTAAAAATTGACTTAGATTTAATATCAAATTCACACACACAGAGTTTCCTGTGGTAAGCCCAGCTCTGAGGCTGAAACTCATATAAAAAGTGCAAAACCACCAAACTTCCTCCACACGTAATGCAATACAAAACATCCCTGCCCTCCCTCTCCACTGCGCTGCAGCTGCTGTTACCTTATTATTGCTATTTTCAATCCTACCTACAGCTCCACGCTGCATCCCTGGAGGAGGACACACACAGAGTTTCCTGTGGTAAGCCCAGCTCTGAGGCTGAAACTCATATAAAAAGTGCAAAACCACCAAACTTCCTCCACACGTAATGCAATACAAAACATCCCTGCCCTCCCTCTCCACTGCGCTGCAGCTGCTGTTACCTTATTATTGCTATTTTCAATCCTACCTACAGCTCCACGCTGCATCCCTGGAGGAGGGCTCGGCAGCCCGGGAAGCGCAGCAGTGCGGTGCAGCGTGGCGCGGCGGGGGGCTGGCTCAGC